TTTAAAAATGTTTTCTTTTGAAAGACCCCTCCCTCACGGAATTTCCAATAGCCCTCCTTGAGGTCAGGATGGATTTTTCCTGCAACTGAACTTAAGCAGCGGAATTATTTTTCACAGGGGAAATCTTTGAGTTTAATCAGTGGATCTCTAACCTGGCTCAAGGATTTTGAGGGAAGGCAACAAAAGGAGCTAGAGAATTCTCCAGCAAGTGCAAGAAATGTTACTGAGTAAGACAGTAAGATTTGCTGGAATTAGTACTTTACGTTTTCAGTTGATGAATTTGTAAATTACATGTTCATTGTACTTATATTTTGTTTTCAAAATGTTACACTACAGAAACTGTATTACTGCTGAAAGTAAAGATCCCTGTAAGTACTAGAAAATAACTTTAAAACTATTTAGAGTATAATCAGAAAACTTATGACAGAATTCTCCAAAAGAAGACAGGAGTTGATCATATGACCCATTTGCTAGTTGTTGAGCAATGTGAAGAATAGAGAGGAGAAAAAAAGGTAAGGGGTTTGGTTTTGCCAGGTCACTCTCACTAACCCTCATGTCCTTTTCCCTTCATCAGTCCTCACACCTCTCCCCTCCACAGAGGCTCAGGTGGGGAGAATCCGCTGAACGATATGAGTGCAGATGCAGAGACCCATTCAACTTTGTGCCTGCACTCACCTGGCACAGTGGATTTCTACAAAATTATGAACATTTGGAACCTCTGATAGGCCTCAGATTGCTGCCCAACTGACAAAGTGTTTTAAACAGGCTAACTTCTGTTCAATCATCTGATAACTTAAACGGCTACTGAGTTAATGAACATGCATCATAAGAACCTTCCAAGAGCTCTGCCTGGTGAGGAAAACTTGAAAAAAATTGTCCCAAGGGTGCTTGCTTTTCATTCCACGTATGTTTGATCCTTGTGTTTATGTATAATATAAATTTATTGTGGTTTGAATGAAAAAATGTTTTATATGGTTAAATTAAAAGTTTCTAAAATTTTCCCAAGAAGCAATTAATTTATTAGTCTCACATTGCCTTTCTCTACCCAAGAGCAAAGATAGGTTGGAAATGAAATAATAAGACTGCTTAATTCAGAGTGTAACATGCTAACCATCAAGTAACCATATCATAGCACAGGTCTCTGATTTATTGCGTATGTATGATGAAATGATGGGCAGATTTATTTTTAATAATAATATGTATATATTTTTTTTCACTGTAGCATCAACACCAGACTGGGTGGCAGAGTTTGCTGAAAAGCAAGCCCAAAGGGAAGCAGAAGACAGAATTAAGGTATTTTAAGGTTCTACTTTCTATGTATAATTTTTAATTTTTTTTGTTTAAGATTGATGTGATAGTTTTTTGTTTTTTTGCTAATGATGCAAACTTTTGCAGGAGAAAAGAGAGAGGCTTGAGGAACAGAAGTCAAAGCTTCAAAGAATCAAGAATGAAATAAGATCATCATATGCTGTCAAATCTGGAAAGAGGAAGGTTTGTTTGACCTAGAAACACAGCTTGCACCATGGAACTGCAACACATCCGGTGCCAATTGTCTTGTGGACTATAAATTTGAAATAACATAATTTATATTGGAACATGACTTATGAAATGAAATGGGAGGGATGAAATGGAAATTGAAATGCTCTATTTATTAACAAGTTTCTTCAACTTGTAAGTTATGTCTACTCAGTAGTGCTACACTTGTAGAGAAAGACAGTATAATAATTATATTTCATGGAACAAATTTAAAACTCTCAGTGGATATCTTAGAATTTTAACTACATGTAAGTTTATTCCTATTATATTTCCCTTCCCCACCTTTCTTTTAGCTTTTTAATGATCTTTAAATGTAAAGCGCCACAGATGATAAGTGGATCTGGCGCTATACACTGTCAAATATTTTTATTTGAAAATAAATAAAATAAATATACATTTATATAGCGTCATTTTCCACTAATTGTTCATGGCGCTTTACAATACTTTAAAATTAAAATCGTAAGTTTTATTTATTACTATTCATTATTATTAACAACCTAACAGATCATGAGAAACATTCAATTAAAAACCTTTGTTTGTGGGCTGATGGATATTACAGACTTTCTGTGTTAATATTCTCAGTTGTAACACCTAACCCAAACACCTGTGAGGGGACATGTCAGTAACAAATGTTTCAAAGAGTTTTCTACCTTGTTATGCCTGCATAAGCATGGTTGATGAAAGAGTTATTGAAAACTCCATAATAAATTACAAAAGTTCAATTCAAAGTTGGTTCCATCAATCCTTCTGTGGTCACAGGCTAGATGGATAGATGTCTTGACTACAGTGTATTACATAACAATCATTATTATATGGCAAGGTAGCCTTGAAATAAAGGGAAAAAATTGAGTTAAATCATAGCGTTCTGATAGGTTCTTTCTTGGTCAGGATTTTGCCATACAGACCATTTCCAAGGAAACATGTAGTTTTGGTTTTCAAGTGCCATAAAATAGACCACTCCCTGACCTAGTTTGCTCAAGCTGTACTGAGGAATACTGGCCCTTGGTCATGTTTGTATGGACCTTGCAAAGACCTCAGGCCCATATTCCCCAGACTGTACAGCCCTCACAATCGGTTAGTAATAATAATAATAGCCTTGACAATACTGACTAGCACATTTCAATTTTACAAACAGTGTAACAAAATCAAAGAGATGTTAACAATGTACATAACTTGAAGAAGCTGTAAAATAAACTACAAGTCAAATAAAGTGTCTTGCTATCATGTTTCATAACCTTTGTTTCTCTTCCCTGGTGTAATATGACTTAAACCTTCTCAAACTCGTTATAATTCATCACATAAAGGAAACCATGACCATAATGGTGCTTGGATATCTGATCTGAATTAGCATAGATTTTTACGATTTTATTTCCCTGTTTTCTCCTTACAGTTTTAGTTTTGAAGTTCGTCAAAAATACTCTGCTACAGGTCATGTTTTCAACTCTTGTCTCTGTGTTTGGAAATGTGGTCAAACACCATCTTTCCTGTTTGATATATTACTTCTAACAGATACCTACCTTTTGGATTAGTAAAGTGAATGACCGTTCCATCATCCTTGATCATGTTCACCTACAAAAAGAAAGGAAAAAATTATTACTACATTCTGGATGCATGAGCCAGTTGTGTACATGTACTGTTCATAGCTTGTTATAACCTGAATAAAATACAATAATATTACTAAAGAGTTACAAACATGGTTTCAAAGGCCTGTATGAACTTGATTCTACATGTATCACATTTGAATCAAATACCATTGATGAAGATGTGATGAACTGGGGGGAAATTTGATAAAAAAAGAAATAAAAAAGCCTCAAGGTTTTATTCAAGAGTTTATGATCAGTTTATGATCAGTTTATGAAAGAAATAAAAAAAATTTTTAAATTAAAAAAAAAAGTTCATGATGCCAAACTCTTCTTGGATTCACCAAAATACATGTACCAGTATACGTAATTACCTCTTAGCTCTAGCAAAACAAAATTGTTCCTGTGTTGATACTACGTTTTGCCACCTTTCATAAATGTAACAGGATCAAGAAAAAATCAAAAATAAAAAAATAACTAACCTCTTCAATTCCAGGAATGGTGTTGACTGAGAGCTTCTTAAGAGTGTTCTGCAATTTCTTATCATCTGTTGTTGCTGTTCTGTGAACTACCTTCTTTTTTCTTCTGGGTGTTCCCTGAGATTATTAGAATAACATACAATGAATGACAAGCTACATCCCAAGAGCATTTATAATACTACATGTCAGCACTTTCAAAGAACCTGGGCCAGGTTGTTCAAAGCCCAATTAAGCTAACCCAGGATTGGCAAGAATTGTAATTTATGTTTTGTAACTTTTTGGTGAGGTTTTCTTTTTATATTGTTTTCCCTTCAATTTTGAGTTTGAGTAATCTCAAACTACCCAAAGCATAAGCCGTGAAAAATATTTCTATACCAGAAAAATTAATACTTCTGTTAATACACCTTTCAACCAACCTGCCCCTGAAATCAAATGTGATGCCAGTACTTTCAAAAATCATTTCTCAAAATTGTGTCTAAGATCTCTCCTACAAGAAAATTACTCTTTGGGAGAGAAGATGAATTTGCTTATATTGGTAATGTTAGATTGTGCAGATGTTGGAGTGACAATGTGGGCAGAACACATACTTTTATATCTTAACAT